GGTTTATTTGATCAAGGTTAAAATAGATATGTTGTTATCTCTGGTAACCCTTAATGGACTTGTGCTGATCAGTACTGAAATGACAGGGTTTTTAAGGATTTGTTTATAGAAAAGCGATGGGATATGGGAAGAACAGATAATTTGTTGTATTTTAAGAGAAGGTAATAAGTTACTAAAATTGTTTATATTTGTTGTGATAAAGGGGAAAATCATCTCTTTATATATTTATTTACTGTATTCTTATTTTTTTTCTTTCTTTTCTATTTTTCTTTCTATTTTTCTTCTTTTCTGCACTTTCTTTTTTCTTTTTCTTTTTTCATTTTTTAGTTTGTATTTGTTTTTATCTTTTTAATTGTAAAGTTTAATACAATTATTATATAAAAAAGAGATAGGAGGGAGGGGTTGCCACTGGAATTTCCTCCCTTCCCAATGCATGCTCATTATTCCTGCAAAAGACATCTTGGAAAGTGCTGAGGTCACAGAGGGATGGAGAGGGGAAGGAAAAAAAATTATTAAGGGAGTTTCTACTCTTCTGAGAACTACACTGAGGACACCAACATTAGAGGATGTCATAAAAATGTTCCCCCAAGAGTAATTCTCAGACAAAGGCAACCTATCTGGATTAAGAGAAATGGTTCATTTGGCTGTTTGACAGGCAGTGTATAGTTACCACAGCAACAGTTCCATCATAGAACTCAGCTGCTTCTTGGAGATCAAAAGCAAAAGCTCACTGGGGTCCTTGGGGGTTCCATAGCATGGGCTTAATAGCACTAGAGATGCAACATGTTCTACCAAATGAAGTTTTATGGTTATCTCTGTTACAGTGCTGGGAGAGATAAGGGTGGGTATTTGGACCACTAGGACTCTCTTTCTGTATAAATACCATTATGCCTGGTATGTAGATATATGGCTATGACATAGTGGTTCCTCAAAAATCTATCTCCATCTTTGCAATATTACAAAGCTCAGCACAAGCTCTGAGGCTTGACATTTTACTGCAGTATTTCTAAAAACCTCACAATATTCTTTTGAGTTCATCAGGAACAACAATAATGTGAGGAGATGTAGTCCAAGACAAAAATGAACCCTTTTTTCAACCCAGTCTTCTTGGCTGGCTTCTTCCCCAATGACAAATGTGGTCCCATTCAGTGCAGGTTTGAGAGAGTTGCCATGCTGATAGACAGACAGATCAATGGAGACAGTGCCAAGCCTTGACATAATTTCTTTCCAATATTCCAAAATTGGGTTGGAAAAATAAAAGATGGGTCAAAAACCCAGATGGTGTCAAGTGAGGATTCTGCATGGACATTAGAGTCACTGAGGTCAGGGTTGGGAATCCCAGATATAGGTGTTCTTCTACCAATAGTATCAGGAACTGTGATATAGATACATCAAAGCACCTTATCTCTATGGGCTAACTCCTTCCAATTTTATGATTTTTCCCCAAAAAAAAAGGTATAGTAGTTGCTAAGCTTCTGGAAATGTATACCTTTCTTTCAACTTGTTGATTCTTTCTTTGTAGACTTTAAAGGATGCTAGTGATAATGCCCGCAAAGACTTCCATCGAGAAGCAGAACTTCTGACTAATTTACAGCATGAACACATTGTGAAGTTTTATGGAGTGTGTGTGGAAGGGGATCCTCTCATCATGGTCTTTGAATACATGAAACATGGAGATCTCAACAAATTCCTTAGGTAAATTAAGAAAAATCTGTGATATGTTTTGAATTTTTCCACAGTCTATGTTCAGATCTGAATTCCCCTGAACTCCCTTGAAGTTTCATTAGTAACTTAGAGATTTGGAGAGACAAAAAGATGCATGCAGTGTGCCTGCAATAATTTATATATTTTCCTCCAAGCCTTTTATATGCAAGGCTGGGAACTTTTGGCCCTCTAGATGGTACTGAACTACAACTCCCAGCAGCCACAGCTAGCAAGGACAGTAGTATTCTCAGAGTTGTAATTCAGCAGTATCTGATGGGATATATCTCTGATATAAGAAAAACACCAAAGTGGAGAAGATGAAGGAATAGTAACAATTTCAGCTTTGTACTGGTTTTAACTATTAAAAGTACATCTTTTTACTAAGGTTCTCCAATCATGGTATTTTAGGCAAGGGACATTGAAATATATAATAGGACTGGTGGCATCTGGTAGATCTTATTTGGGCTCAGAAACTAAAGAGAGTCGTGATTGACAATGAGATGGTAGACCTCCAGGGAATATCCCAGGGGCTATAGGCCAACTGGGAACTTGAAATTCCTTGCTGAAGATGGCAGTGGCAAGTGACTTCCATACTGTATTGCTGCTAGGTAAATGGTGTGGATGGGTGCAGCGTGTCCCCAGGAGTGAAGCTCATCTCAAAGGGCAGCTTCCTTGTAGATTTACCAGCACTCAGTATTCTTTGCCAATTTTCTCTCCCAAGTATATGAATCTTAAAAAACAATCCGTGAGACATGAGAGACATAGTCCCAAAAACTTAGTCGGAAAATTATGGATATTCAAGTCTTCTTGTTCTGGTTTATTTGTTACTTTTATATTCCCCCCCTGCCCTTTCCTCTGGGAACTTAAGGCAGCATATATGAACATCTCCTCTCTTTTTACATCTAAGATATCAACACTCATGACTTGCACAACTTTACCAAGTAAGCTTTACAGTTAAAGTGGGTCTCTCTGGTCCTACTCTGTAACTACAGCATCATATAGCTCCATTCTATTGCAGGTTCTTTAATATCATCTTAACAGAAAACGCAGCAAAACAAAGTTTGCATTTCATTCTGTATGATATTCTACCTCTAGCACCAAGCCTCCTGAAATGTTATAGGCTTCTTACAGACACTTATCTGTATTTATTTCTTTTTATGCATACATTTTTTTTTAAAAAAAGAACATGGCATGGCTTGAAAGAAATCACTTGCCCTGCTAAAATGTGAAAACTCTTTTTACACAAAAAGTAAAAATAAAATTAAAACTCTGCACTTCCTGCTGAAGTTATGCAGGTTTTTAGGTAGGACAAACTGTATATTGGATGTCATTTTTGTGAGAGTTGTTCACAAAAATATTGGAAAAATAGTGCATCTCTTTTTCAGAAACCCACTTTCCTGTAAATGCACAACACATTGTAAAGTTTGGCCATGAAGAAAAATTCCTGAAGCTATTCATCTTAAATTTGGCAGACCTGATCCACTCAGAAGGGGCAACTATGCTCTCACATTTCATCTAATTTTGTCCAAATTCCTTTTTGAAAAGCACACACAAACTTGGTAGACTTCTCCCTCTTGTAAAATTCTGCCATACATAAGCATTTAATACACTTCTGTAAAAAAGGTAAACAATTATAGTCATGTGTCGATTCTCCGTGAAAATCAGTGAGCATGCAAAGATTCAGATTTCCAACTCTTAATTTGTATTTGGCCCTGAAGTCAAACTGGATAGCTTTCAAATTGGTCTAAGATGAATTGGGCTACTTTCCAAATTGCTGAGTTGTGGTCCAAATGGAACAATTTGATTGGTACACATTCCTATGTAAGAATAGTCCTGCTGGATCAGGCCAAAGCCCATCCTAGTCCAGCATTTTGTTTCTCATAATGGCCTTCCAGATGTCCCTATGCCATGTGGTAATGAATTCTGCAGGCTAATTATGCAGTATATGGAGAAATGCTTCCTATTGTCTGTTTTAAATCTCCTTCCAACAAGCTTCATTGGATGGCCCTGGTCTTAATATATGAGAGAGAGGGAGAAGCCTCCCATCTACTTTCTCCAGCCTGTGCATGATTTTATATGCCTTAGTCATGTTCCCACTCAATTGTTTTATTATCAAGCTGAGTCCCATAATTGGGGATTCCAATGCTGGCATTTTTTTCAGTCCCTTTCCTAATGATCTCTAGCTTGTAATTTGTATTTTTCACAGCTGCCACACACTGAAACCACATCTTTGTGTGTTATTCACTATGACCCCAGGATCTTTCTCATGGTTAGTTAATGCTTAGACCACATCAAATTGTATATGGGTAAGACTTGTATGCTCCAATGTGTATTACTTCATGATTACTTAAATTGGACTACATTTTCACTTGGTTGATCATTCATCCAATTTAAAGACATAATTCTGGTGCTGTTTACTGTTACTTTTGTTGTTTACCAGCTCAAATATTTTATTGTCAGTCCCAAACTTGGCCAGCTTGCTGTTTAACATCGTTTCTGAAAGAGTTGAAGAGAACTGATTCCCAATACAGATTGTTGAGGGACTCTGCTTCTTACTTCCTTCCACTGAGATAATTGCTGCTTTGTTCCTACTCTCTCCTTTCTGTTCTTTTTAACCAGTTAGCAATCTATAAAAAGACATGGCCTTTTATCCCATGGATGCTAGGTTTACTCAAGAGCCTTTGATGAGGAACTTTGTCAAAGGTTTCCTTTAAAAAAAAACAAAAACCAAGAATACATCTTCATCCACAGGCCTGACATCCTCAGAAAGCACTAATCAATTGCTAAGGTAGGATTGATTTTTTAAGAATATAGACTGTTTTTCCTTCAGCAAGAATTATTTATCTATGTGCTGAGCCATTTTTCTTTAACTACTATTTCCACCAATTTGCCTGAAACAAGCATTGTTGACTGGCTTATAATTTCCTGGGTTTACCTGGGTCAATTTTAAAAAACAGGTCTCACACTGGCTTCTGTCCTGGGACTGACCCTGATTTCACTGACAAGTCACCTGTTTTGCTAGGAGGTCAGCAACTGTATATCTGACTTCTTTCAGAGCACTCAAATAGCTGCCATTAGATCTGATTAATTAAAGTGTGATCTCTTAAGATGTCCAAGAATACCTTACAGAACATATGGGCCATCTAGTCCAGAAGCCTGTTCTCACAGTGGCCAACCAACTGTGCAAGGAAGCCTACTAATCTCCCAGCAGATGGCCTTCAGAGGCCGTCACTGCCCTCAAGGCTAATAGCCATGGATCCCCACATTCTCTTGTTATCTCCATTTGCTTTAGTTCTGATTCTCTCCCTGAGAAAGTCAGTAGAGGTTCATGTATCTATCCCATGTCTTCTTCAGGAAAGACAGATGCAAATAATTTCATCCAGTTTGTCTGTTGAATCTATTCCACCCTCAAGCATCCTTTTTGCTTCTTTGTCATCTAATGGCCCAGTTGCTTCTAATTACTTTTCTGCTTCTAATATATAAAGGAGTTCTTACTATTCCCCTTTTTGTGACTTTCCATACACATATTTGCCCCCCCACCACACCATTATCTAGCAAAGTTTGTTTTCCTTCTTGTACTCCTAATTAAGACAGACTTTCCATTCATTACGTTTTACAGTTACCTGGACACTATTACAAAGCCATGCTGGCCTCTTGGGTTTGGCAGTCTTTTTTACCTTGTTAAAGTACCTAGTTGAGCTTCAATTATCAAGGCTTTAAATAACCTCTCTTTGGCCCTCTGTTTTTCATCCATCCCTTCATCTGATAAGTATTCCCTTTTGTACTCAGATGTGACTGTGTTGGACTCCACAGGCAGTTCCCCAACTGAATGCATGCTAAATATAATAATATTATAGTCAGTATTCCCTATCAGTTCTGCAGCAGTTACATTTCTTCCCAGATCATGGTCATAATTTAGGATTAAGTCTAGAGTTGCCTCCCTTTGGCTGGTTTCATGCCCAATTATGCTAAGTTAATCACTTAATCACTGGTTTCTTTGTCACAGCCTAAGCTTGGTCTATGTCAGGGAATAGAACTCTCCAATTATTACCAGAACTTCTATTTTCCTATATAATATTGCATATCTGTAGATCTAATCTATACTTGTGGCCAGATATTACTGCCCATAGTGATCCTCTGGGGGAATCTGGTCTTCTATATTGCTTATATCTTACTTTCTCTGAACTGATTTATCTTACTATCTATGAATTCTACTTATTGTGAAAAATATGATAAAACTAGAATTAGCCATCTAACCATGATAAAAAAAATGAACTGTAGTTTAGGATATTAAAATAAAAATATTTACATAAACTATTATTCAAGTATGTGAAGATTATGTGTATTTACTTGAAAATAGCATTATAACTCAAGTTTCATAACTGACATATTTAAATGTGTCAATAAAGCATTTTCTACTAGTAATATCTATAGTTCTCTATTAGAAAGCTTTTATTCTCTAGGGCAAGGAATCTGAAAAAATTGTTTATTTTTTATAAATAATATATCATAATTTAGTTTGGGTAAATAATAGGCTACATTATAGCAGATACACAAACACAATATACCTCATTTCATAAACAAAAACCTTTCAAACCGAGTGCTCTGAATTTTGCTTCAGGGAAAACCACAGAATTGGGTTACACATGACTCACATTAAAAGTGGTTTCACTTACTTACACACATTAAAAGTTATTTCACCCTAAAGTCTAATACATTTATTACAGAATTAGAATTCTGAATCAAAGTTATTTCATCAAATACCAAAACACCTTTTGTTTATTAATGCATGCACATCATTCACCTGAAGAAAGATAAAATATTTCAAATAAGGAAGTGGAAATAAGGAAATAAAACTGTCTAGTCTTGTTCTGAAAGAAGCTTGACTCCATAAAGAAGAGGCCAAAAGTGATGATAGAACCTAGTTCAAGACTAGGTATTTCTAATTATGTGAAATAGTTTTGCCTAATAACCCCAAGAATTGCTGCTGAGTATTGGAATAGCTGTACCACTAGACTCAGCCATAATATGATTTATTTGCTTTTTAGTTTACATGTTCTATAAATCTAGCCAGTGTGATTTGTAAGCAGTGTTTTAGGGCTTAGAGTATTGTGTGACTCCAAATAGGTTACTCACCAATGTGTAGCTTAGCAGAATGAGTGAATCAACTGTTCTAGTCTAACTCAGTGTCTTATTTCACCTAAAAATGCTTCTTTATTAAATATTTGAGCTTTCTTCTGTAAAATATTGTAGGTTAATGTGTTTGGAATAAAGCCTTACATCAAGAATTATGATGTAAGGCTTAATATTTTGAGAAACTCATGGTTTTTTTTTGTTTTGTTTTTCAGTATGTATCTTTAGTTTCCACTAAGGCAGTGTTGTCCAAACTTGGCC